TTGAAGGCGAGAGCTTCTGACGACTTCAGCGTTTGAGACGGTGATGTGCGGCAATTAGCGACAATCTGGTCTGATGGTTGTCCAATCTCCTCATCACATCTTAGGCAGGTGTCTTTCACAATTAAGTTGAAAGTCGAAAATATACCTAACGCCAAATACATAATATTAAAATATAGCATTATTTAGGGAAAAATGCATGACAGCTAGATAAAAGACGTAGGTATACCAGCCCTATAGAATATGTCGTGATATAGCCCCAGACAAAACTCTAAACTCTATAACGTGTAAAACTGTTTCTCACTACACCGAGGGCAATGAGGATGCCCATCGCCACATAATAGGAGCCTGTGTGTGGAATGCTGACCGCACACACCACGTGCGAATTATGCGTCTGGAGCCAGGGTAGATCGGCGTAACGTGATCATCGACGGATAGTCTTGATCGGGTGTGTTTAACTGAGCTTTAACACTCGCCAAAAAGTGTTTGAAGAATGCTCGACAGAATAGGACAAATTTGTCGCCAGTGCTGAAAAAAAAAACTAAAACTTAAGGGAAGCGAGGGCTACACCGGCCTTTTTAAAAAGCTCATAGTGAAGGTGATCTGTTTGTATTTAAGGGGCGTCGACAGGGGATCATCACAACAACGCCGGCTCCCAAAATGTCTGAATCAGGGAAGCCTGCTAAAGTGTTCGCGGAACGGTAAAGACCTAGTAGATACGATAGTCACCTCAGTTCGGTAAAAGGGTTCCACCTGGGAGTGCCTCTATCATCAGCACAGCTGGAATGCTCTCAAAAAGGGCCAAGTATTGAACAGCGTTGGTGTGGTCGACAATCGTTAAGAATAAGAACGAAGGGGTTTTATTTGTGTTTGTTGTCGTTCCAGGAAAACCACAGCGATGCAACTAAAGATTTGGGTTGCTGATTACAAAGGTTTGTGTTCCTGGTTACCAAGCATTATGAAATTGGTTGACAAGTTTTGCAGCAGGTGCACTTGTGCACGTCTGTGCACCCAATAAACCTGACGAAAATAGATGTGGACGGCTCAGAATCAGATCCCAGGTATGAGCGGCACATTATTATTTTTAGCATGAATACAGAAGTGTGCATTGAATTTTCTCGTACACGCATAGAAAACACATGGTCAAAGCAAAAAAAAAAACAGGTGCAATGTTGGTCTGTAAGATGCTAAAGGTTCACTTCAAAACAGTGAAACTTTTGCTACAGACGCATTACGTAGTTGACGGCACGCAGAATCACACACTTCACAGTTGGCCTAAGCAAACGACCTAGTCTGCAGTCGGTACATGATAATGTATGATGTAACAATACATCATAGTCCATTCAGTATAATACAATGCAAGACGCCAATATGACGCCAACAAAGTGTTTAACAGATGCGACTGATCAAACACTCCACGGTTATATGATACACGTTTCGTATGATACACGCTTCGATACACCGCTCCAAAAGCAAGTGGTAAGAACATCAACCCAAAACCTAAACAATACCTAATCAGTTTGCTGGAAGCGATTTTCAACAAATTAGTTGAAACACGACCAGCCTTCGAAAGATACCCAAGAACACAAACACGCCAAAGCAGTCCGGATATTGTCCAGCCAGTATGTCACTTAACATTCCTTTCACGAGTCACTGGATTTTCAGGCCACGATTTACCTATTCCGTCACAACAGAACGACACCGAAACTCGGCAGTAGGTACTGGTTTGTTAAAAAAAAACTCTAACTTCATCTCCCATCGAATAGTCTTCATGGCCCACTTCTTTCTCCTAAAAGACTTATCTTTTTATATGGGCCGCAAGAGTTCCTCAGGGTTTCCGTCTTTCCCCTACGAGCCAAGTCTCCTTCCGCCGAAGAATTCTACGGGGTTCCTCAATTGTCCTACATACCTCATCTTCGTCTATCAGACACAGCAGTTCTTCAGGTTCCTCCTTCCTAGGTACCCCGTCTTCTTCCATCGGGCACGTAAACCTGCACCTCCTCACTGCTCAATCCATGCACCATCGACAAGTGCTTCCGCAGGTCGGGCCGGTTGTTGGAGACCTTGCCGCAGAGGTGGCACACAGTGAGTCCCTGGTGCAGCTTGGTGTGCGACATGAGCGAGCGATGAGAGCGATACCGCTGGCCGCAGAGCGTGCAGACAAAGTCGGCGCCAGAGCCTGCAATCAGCGGAGAGAGCCTCTTCAGTTCGGTGGAAAGGTCTCAACCGGGGCGCGGATACAAACTCACTCAAAGGTCTTCATTAGCGAGGCGGATACGAACTCTCCGAAGGGGCGGAAAGCCTGCTCAGTTTGGCGACAAGCCGGTGTCCACGGGAGGAAAGCCCCTCCGTATTGCGGGCAAACCTGTCCCAAAACGCAGCACACAAGTGCAGCGGATAACACCTATCCAAGCAGCCGGCAAAGCCCCTTTCCTCCGTTCGGTGAAAAAGTCCAACCGCAGAAGCCTGTTAATGTTCCAAGTGTTCAGCGTAACGGGAAAGAGTTAGTACGACACGGGCGATACCCCCTCAGTCGGTAAAATGGTGATCACCTTCAGGGTGCCTCCCTCCTCAGCACAGCTGAGCGGCAACCCAACAGAGAAAATCACTCCAGCTATACGGAAAAGAGAAGGATAGCGGCGAAAAAAAAAACTCATCGTTGCAACAAACTTGAGTAGACAGGATAACGGTGAATGGTTGAATGTACAGAATCATTAAATTGTTTTGCAGAAAAGTGATGCTAAAGCAGAACATTGAAGGCAAAGAAATGTTGAAAACATCACTGCTTTAAAATTAAAATTAAAATAGACTTCACGTGAGCACTGACAAGTAAACCTGTATATACGACCTGTTATCTCACGATACCAATGGTAGGTATACATATATCTGATGAAACATGAAGTTGGAACTATGTGGCTTTTGAACTGACAATCAGACTATCGTGTAGGCATAATTGCATTTTTAACGGTGAAAATGTTGATCCTGATTAAGCCTGCAGTTGTACCATAACAGGAACATATAAGACTTCATTGCCTAAAAAAAGATGATTGTGCATTACAAACCCTGACGGCGAATTGACCAAAAATGTATTTGTCATCAAGCTACCATAGCTCATTGAAGTTCTGCGCAAACAAATATGCGTCACATACTGAAGATAAAGAAATAAAATACCAAATCAATATTCAATTGAAACGATAAAGCACACTGTAATGATATCATCATTAAAAAGTAACCACAATAATTAAGTAAGGGTCGTACCTTTATCACTACATGAAGATACGAGGCAGCCAAATTCTGCTTTCTTATCTCACTGTTTTCCAAAATTTTTAATCGTTTGGATGGTTGGCATGAGTGAAGACATTATAGTCAAAATTGATGTGAAAATGATCAATAACATGCCAAAAATTGTATTGGTTCTTTAGTTTACCAAAGAGAAACAAAAGAGACAAGCTTTCGACAACACTGTCATCATCAGGTCTGAGTTTTTGAAATTCCTTTACACACTTCACAACATACAAAAACATATTCGCACGCTACAATGATGGAAAACATTCCTCCGTTTGTATATGTAGGTAGATGTCGAGATCCAGATCACAAAATGCTATTTCAATATGCTTACAACGTCACATGTCACAAGTTCTATATAATCAAGCGCTCATACAAACAGATATCACACCATGCAAGTAACAAAAAATGAATACTACTTTCTGGTTCGTAACCTACCAAAAGTCACAACAACCTAAACGATTGGCCAGGACTGTGTGAAGGTATTTAAGTTTGGGTTGATATCACGGATTTTCATAGATTCATCAATTTTATTGTCAGCCACGTCACGGTTTCTGCTCAAAATATCTATATGAAAGTTGTTGTTCATTTCCTTGTGACTAAGTGTCGGGTGTCTATCTAAGGCATGCTCACCAAGTCCGGTACCTAGTCTTCTTAGTCTGGCGTCAGAAAGGTGCTCGTTAAATCTCTCACGAACCGGTCGCGACGTTTCTCCGATGTAAATATAAGGTTTGTCCTGACATGTTTTACAAGTAATTTTATATACGACATTTTTTATGTGGCATTTCCCCTGAAGACCGTTCGGGCACGTGTGACACCGGGTTTTGCCGCGGCAAAGCGGAGGCTGAAGGGCAGATCTGACCAGTTTGCTTTTCACCGTGGGTCCACTCTGCCAAGCCACCCTAAGGTTAAGCTTAGATGCCCTGATAATGCCATTGACTCGATGACACACTGTTTCATTGACGTAAGGGAGCCTCATATAAGTCATCTGCCCTGATTGAGGCAAATCAATGCCCTGATTGATTATCAGGGCATCTAAGCTTAACCTTAGGGTGGCTTGGCAGAGTGGACCCACGGTGAAAAGCAAACTGGTCAGATCTGCCCTTCAGCCTCCGCTTTGCCGCGGCAAAACCCGGTGTCACACGTGCCCGAACGGTCTTCAGGGGAAATGCCACATAAAAAATGTCGTATATAAAATTACTTGTAAAACATGTCAGGACAAACCTTATATTTACATCGGAGAAACGTCGCGACCGGTTCGTGAGAGATTTAACGAGCACCTTTCTGACGCCAGACTAAGAAGACTAGGTACCGGACTTGGT